CCAGTTTGCATTAGCTGTACATAAGCAGCTGCAGCATAGTACCCCAGCTACAGAGGCTAACCCCAGTCTTTGTGATACTTGGCAAAGGGCTGTCATGGTGACATTACTTATTATACTCTTGCAGTAACCCTCTACTAGCAGAAGTCCTGCCCCGTTCATTAAGAGAGCTTTTAGTTACCTCAGACACAAACTTACTTCAGCAGTTTGTATCAGGTTAGAGCAGTTTGAACCAATGATGAAAAGCTAATTAACATCAGCTAAATAACTTGACCACTGGCTCTGATTAACTTGTATTGATTTGCAACAGCTGAAGACTTCTTCACCTGCTTCCCATAACTTACAGTCTTTTGAGGATCTATCTTCGGTGGTGCAAAAACTATTTTTACAGCAAATGTTTTGACCCAATATCTTCAGTGTGGAGGTGTTAATACACCACAACACAAGGAGTTCTGGGTAATTTACTATATCAGAGTATTATTGAGCCCAAGGGTTTTATTAGAGGCTTTGAAGATTCACTAGAGCTGGGAAATGCTAGTGGAATACAGTACATTTACTGTAAGATTGGCTGGCCAGTTAAGGGATGATTTACGCTAACTTACACCTTGGCTACTTGGTCTTTGCTGGAACTACATTCACTCATATCAGCTGTGGATCTGATTGTTTGTCCTCAGTTTAGATACAGCATTTTGCACCAGATGATATTTTTCTCCCAGTTACCTAAGTGATCCTGATCTATGAATACTGAAAGCTAGTTTTACACCTTTTTAAGCCAGCTGGTCAGCTGGTATAGTTTGACTTTGATCTATTGTTACATTTTAGATTGAGAAGTGCTTCCAGTATCGTATCTTATAATACTGAAACATTTGCTTCAGTAAGATAAAACATGTTTCATGCCTATTTTCCTATCAAGTTTCATTTAGTTGAAAGTACAGTGTGTTATAAAATATTATATGATTGCATGATGATTTCTACAATATACATTCTGAAAAGTCAAATAAAATATTTTTTAAATAAAATTTTTCAAAATTACAAAATTATACATTTTTATTTTCCTTAGTTGAAATTTACCATAGTTGTCCCAGAGAACATTTCAATATTTCAAAATTTCTTTCGAATCCAAAAGGAGGATTACAGAAGTAGGAATTCATCATTAAACAGAAATAGCATTTACACAGAGATGGGAGATATTTCAAAAAACGTTCTCCACAAAGATCAATGATTTCTGCTTCTAATCTTCTTCCTCTTTCTGCTGGTGTGGGTGTGAGGGCTAATTTAAGGTAGCACCCTACCAGAGGAGAGTTACTGAAAATGGAAAGCATCCTGCTTCCTTGTGATAATTCACCAGCTCAGAAAACAAGGCTGGGATCAAGACACAAGTTTATGCTCAATCTAGTCTCCTCTTGTATTGGGTTTGTGTGGCAAGGTTTTGGTAGTGGTGGGCTACAGTGGTCGCTTCTGTGAGAAGCTGCCAAAAGTTTCCTCCATGTCTGATAAAGCCAATGCCAGTCAGCTCCAAGACAGACCTGCTGCTGGCCAAGGCTGCGCCAATCAACGATGGTGGTAAGGCCTCTGTGATAACATATTTTAAAAGAGGAAAAATGTTTGTGCACAATGGCAATTGCAGCTGGAGAGAGGAGTGAGAATATGGGAGAGGAACAACTCTGCAGACACGAAGGTCAGTGAAGAAGGAGGGGGAGGAGGTACTTCAGGCACCAGAGCAGAGATTCCACTGCAGCCAATGGAGGTTAAAGGTGGAGCAGATATCCACCTGCAGCCTGTGTAAGACCCCAGGCTGGAGTAGGTGGATGCCTGAAGGAGCCTGTGACCCCATGGGAAGCCCATGCTGGAGCAGGCTCCTAGCAGGCCTTGTGATCCAGTGGGAAACCCATGCTGGAGCAGTCTGTTCCTGAAGGACTGCACCCAATGGAAGGTACCCATGCTGGAGCAGTTTGTGAAGATCTGCAGCCTGTGGGAAGGACTCATGTTGGAGAAGTTCGTGGAGGACTGTCTCTCATGAAAGGGACCCCATGCTGGATCAGGGGAAGAGTGTGAGGAGTCCTCCCCCTGAGGAAGAAGGAGAAGCAGAAACAACATGTAATGAAGTGACTTCAACTCCGTTTCCCATCACCCTGTGCCGCCAGGGGGCAGGAGGTAGAGAACTCTGGAGTAAAGTTAAGCCTGGGAAGAAGGGAGGGGTGGGGGGAAGGTGTTTTAAGATTTAGTTTTTATTTCTCATTACCCAACCCTGATTTGATTGGTAATAAATGAAACTAATTGCCCCAAGTTAGGTCTGTTTTGCCCATGACAGTAACTGGTGAATGATCTCTCCCTGTCCTTACCTCGATCCATAAGACTTTTGTTATATTTTTCTCCCCTGTCCAGCTGAGGAGGGGAGTGATAGAGTGGCTTTCGTGGGCACCTGGCATCCAGCCAGGGTCAACCCACCACACCTCCTCATATCTATCCCAGGGACGTAACAAGTGGACAGGTATCCAGGCGCTCCTGTATGACAGGGCTAAAAGTCTGTACAATCTGCAAAGAAAAACTGTTATAGTCCTCTGTGTTGTCATTGTACAAGTCTTAAACTGGAATTAGATACTGCAGTGATGGGTGCAAAAGGCAAATACGTAGCTGTTGCTTCATCCATACAGCCCTTCCCATACTGAGCTTCCAGTCATGCCTGTGTTCTAGGCAGGAGAGATATCTCAGATCACTGCTGCAGCACATGCAAGGAGTTTTGATGCAAGTAAGATGGAGATGTGGGATGCAAAGAATCTCGTCTAACAGTAGCTATGTTAGTTTCATTTAATGGTGTCAGTTCTCTCTGTAGTGAAAGGCTAGACACAAGCAGGTTCAGAGGATGATTTATGACCCCTAATGTGAGTTTGCAGAATGGATATGATGACTTATCTTCTGGAAGAGCCTTTTTCTGTTATAAAGGCAGCCTAGATAACATTATTAGATCAAGTCACCTAGTATTTAAATAGCTTAATTTCAGGGAGATTAATCTCATCTGTTGTATAGACATGTTGCATATACTCAGTAAGCCTGATTTGTCTGGATCTACTGCACAGCTATACCCAGGAGAGGCATTGTAGCTCTGGCAAATATCAAATCAAGCAGCACCATGTGTGCTCTGACAATCTTTATGTGCATAGTAAATCAGCTGTATTTGAAATGCACTGACCTTACTGGACATGGACAAGGCATGTTTAGAAAGGCACACACATGTGTGAAAATGCCTACCCTGGAAATTCACGTGCCTTACCTTCCCCAGCCCTGCAGTTTTGTACCATGCCATAGCACCATTTTCCATACCACACCAATATATGAGTCCCGTCATCATAATGAACTATTTCAAGTGTGCATACATGTCAAATACATGGGGAAAACATACAGGAAGATTTTGTCACTGGACTTTAGCTGTATGTAAGCAACATATTTAATCAGTTTTTCTCTGTATTCTTCAGAAAGAAGGAAGTTAGCGTCTTCAAAGAGTGATTTTTCCTGAGGATGGGATGAATCATCTCCAGGAGCTGTGTGGCTCTCTCCACTGAAAACAGAGGGAACTTAGATGACTAGATTATGCTCAGACAAAACCTGTATATGCTTAGTAGTAAATAGCACCAATTTTTTCACCCTCAACACTATCTGATGTTTTCCCTCTAATGGTAGCTTTTTCTTTGTTGAGAGGCCTTAAACCACCTAGGCACTGGAATAAGATTCTTCAGTGGGATGCATAAATTTGTGGCATGAATCCAATCCTAAGAGTCATTCACTCTAACACAGACAGATGATGCAATTTACTCTACTCTTTTGTTGGGACACACTGAACTTATGATGAATTTTGATGAAAATCCTATTGCCTTTTCTTCACTCTGTCACTGTCTCCCCAGATACAGTGTTGTAAAATGTCACTTCTTCCTTTACAATACGTTCCACATATGGTTTTAATAATTTACTTGTGTAAAAAAATCTATTGTTATTTTCTGAAACGTTAAAAAGCCCACATCCTTGTATGTCTAAAGAAAATCCAACAAACAGTATCTCCACCATCTTTAACTTACCTGTAAACATCAGCATCGGGGTAGAGGCATTTAGATATACTTAGCCTAATTGCCTCTGCCATCTGGTGGCAAAGTACAGTAATAGCACGTCAGAGCTCAGAAAATTTTTGTACCAGATTTATTTATTTGAAAATCATGACTCCACACAAGTAAAACTGTTTATAAAGTTTCAGTCTTTCAACATTTATTTTTATATGATACTCATAATTTGAAAAGTTTATATCTTGTAAATATTTATTTACTGATGCTATATTTTTATAATATATTATCTTGTGTTATGTAGTACTGAACAACATTATACCATTGCAATGCATTGTATCTTTAACGTGGTGACAAAAAAATCAGACATATTTGTTCAAATAGTTAAGTGTGAGTCTAGCTATGAGCTTCAGCAATGGGCTGTCCCAAGGTATTCCAACTATAGATGAGCACATTGATTTATCTCACCCAAATTGGCACCAAAAGTGAGTCCATCTGACCTCATCATTCTTCCTTTATGGTCAAAAAAAACTCTTCCCAGGCACTGTTCATCTTCTCTTAGAATATACATGTTCATACCCTAGGATCCACAAATCTTCTTTGTTAACTATAAAGAAGATCAGATGAAAAAATCAGGTGAAGTTGATTCCTTCCAAGATTGTATTATATCACATACAGCTTAAGTGTAGAAAGCAAAACCACACACCTTCACCTTCAAATTGGGGGATCCAACTAACCAAATGTGAATATAATCTCAGTACTCTCTCACATATCCTGATATATTGATTATGTCAGGTATAGTGAAGCTACTCTGTTGGGCTAGGTTAAGAAAAGTCTTTGATCCATATTACATACTAAGGTCCAAAAAAAGTAAACTAACTCTTAATTCTTGTGGGAGGGAATTCACCAGTTACAATGTTTACTGTGAAAATTGTGTTTTCTAGGTCTTGGAAATTAGTGTTGAAAGACTTGTTTCATATTTCCAGTTTCTTCTTGGTAGAAGACAGAGAAGGGACAGAGGTAGATGTAGGTGTGGGATACAAACAAGAGGGTGATGACCGCGATGTGTGAGGCACAGGTGGAGAGTGCCTTCCAGTGCCCCTCAGTGAAGCGGACCCTGATTGTGACCGAGATGAACATATAAGATGTGACCAGCACCAGGAAGCAAACCAGGGCTATTAAGCCACTGCTGGAGGCTGTGGTGATGCAGCCCTCAGGCCACTCTGAGATCTCAGAATAAGCCCTATTGTGCTGTTATCATTGTCACAAGTGCAGTGACTTGGGTGTCAGGCCCTTTGTGGCCACACCTGGGCCATCTGCTGCCTGAATTGTATACCGGAATGACTCAGCACGAATTGTGGCCAGAATGGAAAATACTGACCAAAACCAATCATCTCGAGATCTTATAAATAGCGATCCAAAAGTGAGACCTTTCGAGCTCTCCGGGACCACAGCAGGCTGTGTGACCCAGTATCTTCCCCTGAGCTGGGATGCCTCTCAGGGGAGATTTCGTGAGGTTTGAAAGATTGTCTGTCAACAATTTTGCAATGACTCAAAGGCCTGATTTCATGAGGTTCAGCAATTGTCCATTGATGAATGCTGGTACATAAAAGTGAGTTAATTTATGAAACTCACGAAAAGGGACATTTTAATCACAGGTTAACCTCTGTGTGTGTGTGTGTGCAATTTGATTCAGAACTGTCTGTCTGTCTGTCTGTCTGTGTGATTTGATTTAAACCCTATCTGTGTGTGCAACCCTGCTGCAAGTTTTGGGTGACCCTTGCCATTCTGGAATCTTTAAGTTGCTATTTTGATTGTAACAAATTCCATTGAATCACTCTGTTAAATTGGCTGATGCTTAAGTGCTGTTAAGAATTATACAACCTAATTTTGTGATCTATCTCAAAAATATTAATAAATCCTAAATTAGTGCTAAACGGAAGCCATGTAATAAAATCATGTTCCCAACAGAGGCCATGAACGACTCAGTGATGTAGATGCCCATGCAGGCCAGCCAGATGACTGGAGGCATGTCACAGAAGTAGCTGTCAATTAAACTGAGGGCAGAGAAGGTGAGCTGGATTGTGAGCAGCATCTGGACCATGGAGTAGAGGAAACACCGTTCTCAGCAGGCAGATACCAGGACCCAGCACACCTGCTGGCTTATGATGACTGTGTAGTGCAGGGGTTTGCAGATGGCTGTGTATGCCATCACTGCTGGGAGGAACATCTCTGTTGCCCCAACAAAGTTCAGAAAAGACAGCTGGGCTATACATCCCTCAAAGGCAATGGTCTTTCTTTGGGAGAGCAGGTCCATCAGTATCCTGTGAGAGGTGGCAGGGGCATAATAAATGTTCATGAAGGACAAATTGCAGAGGAGAAAGTACATGGGTGAGTACAGGTTGGGGTCAGCCCTGACTGCCACAATGATGAGAATGTTTCCCAGCAGAGCCATGGCATTGGTGAGGAAGAAGGTGAAGAAGAGGACTCGCAGCTCCCTTGCATCAGAAATCCCCAGGAGGATGAATTCAGTTATTCAGCAGAAATGTTGCAGTGCCATTGCTTCAGCTCAGGCTTCCATAGCACAGGTGTAGGGGAGAAGTCGTGGGCTGGCCAGGAAGAGAAGAGAATATGCTGCAGCTCCAAGGTTCATGGATGATGCCCAGAAACCAGTTTTGGGAGTTTCTTCATTAATATTCTTCATTAATATTAATATTGAGCTAGTGAGTGTCTAGTAGCTTGACTGCTCTCTCGGGCCTGCCGTTAAGACAACATGCTCTCCTGAAGAGTTTGTGCTTTCTAAGATAGCATAAGCAGCAAATCACTGCACTGCCACCTCAACATCACTCAGAGACACCTTTAAAGTTCTTCATTAGATAAATACCCTGTCTTATGGAGGTTGAAATGCAACCACCACAGACATAAAGTTTAAGAATGTCAGCACATGAATAAATAGTTCTCTGTGTTTTGGGGAAATTTATTTACATGTGTGGTGTTTTGTTTTGTTTTGCTTTCCTTTTGGAAGGAAATATACCTAATAGTTCAAAATCTTGACGTTGTCCTAATGGTGAGCTACTCACGAATATGTCAAGGCGTTTCTGTTCCCTTTGAAATTTTAGCTCATTTTCTTTTACAGTCACATCAGGAAATTCTTCAGCTGCATATTTCTGTCTGAGAATCAATAAGCAGATTACTACTAAGAAAGCAGTCTCTGTTTTTCATATATCCTTCATTAGCCTTTTGCTAATACCTGAGCACTTTCCTTGCATCCTGCTCTATTCTCGACTGCTTTCTGGTAGATTTTGAAGAGTTTTACCTTCCTATCAAACAAACAGGCTTGCTTCATGCATAACTCAGAATATATGTCTGCAAATCACAACATTAATTTAGAAATGATCCCACTTTTACCTCTTTTCCTCTGATGAGGGCTCAATGACCTTACACAGCTAGCACAGCTGCAGAGGAGGCGAACAGCCGTCTGTCTATAGCAATCCCTGATATTTTACTAGACAGAGATCTGCAGTATAGGCATCACAATTTGAGCATGACAGCTTCAGCTCCCTGCATAGTCAATGAAGATCAACAAACACCTTAAAGGGATGGCTCAGTTTACATTTTTTAGATCATGGCTCCAGAGTAGGAGAATTTATACCCTAGAAGATACTGCATCTATCCCTGAGTATAAATGGAGAGCAGATAGCTGCCCCGTGCTAGATGTCTACAATAAAATCAAGCCGCTAGAGTTAAATGAAGCTGCCTTGAAGGAGCCAAACAGCCAAGACATCACAGCACCATTTAAAATCTTCTGTATATTTTTCAACAAATCACCAAGCATTTCTTTCTGCCATTCACATACACAAATACAACCACACACACGTACTTTAATATGCCATGGTAGATATGAAGGAATAGGATAGGGAAAAAAGGTGGCTATTATACTCAGTTACTAAACGTTGATACAACCTGAATTTCCAGGTCTGAACTCTGCTAAGGGTTGTTTAGAGCATGGTCAGCTCCTCTAGCAGCCCCAGACCAGGACTCTCCTGCCAGGCCTCTGGAGTCCAGTGCCTGGGGACCCAGAGTCTCTGCCCATGCTGAGGGATGTGGCTGCCACTTTCCCCTTTGCAGGTTCAAACAGCAGCAAAGCTGTGCACATGTTCCAGAGACACACAAACACACACAAACACACATACACACACAGTACCCTGACATGGCCAGTCACACAGACTGCCACAGCCAAGGCGCTACCGTCAACAGAACCTGCACACAGGACCCACATCACGCACAGGTACAGACAGACATGTCCCCTCCTTCTTTGGGGCTGGCAGATGCAGGAGGTCACTAGTGCAGGCACACACACGATACTGTCTGGGTTCACAAGCACACACATACTCACAGGTTCCCTGAGCACTGGCACGGTCCCTCTGTCTGCATGGTACCCCTGCCTAGATCTCAGCCTCTTACTGCCCTGTAAGTCCCCTACTTGCCAGCTGGTCCAGCCTGAAGTTTGCTGGTGAATACACATGTGCACCCCATGCATACCTGGTTTGGATAAGAGACGGACATTTGGCCCACCCAGCAGCTGGCACAAGGCACACGGGCTGTGACCTGCTGTACCACTACAGCCACCAGCTCAGAGCCCCTCACTTGCCTCACACACACCAGTCTCTCCCAGTAGATCATTTGGGAACACACACTGTTCCTGCCCCAGTGGCTGGAGGCCAAGACCCCACTGGCTCCAGTAGCTGGCACTAGGACCCCACTGACTCCAGTAGCTGCACTGGGACCCCACTGACTCCCGTAGCTGATACCACAGGCCAGGGGCACCCATATCCCTAGTCTGACTCCAGTAGCTGGCACCAAATCCACTCACACCAGTCTCCCCAGTAGCTGGCACTTGGTCCTTGTAGCGCACATACACACAGGATAGAATGAGATTACACAGAGAGTTAAGAAAGCATTTATTAAGAAGACAGGACAGACTGCAGTGGTCAGACACAGGGCTCAGTCAGGCAAGCACACTCACTGATTCATTTTTATATGTGACTGGCCCCTTTTATACCCTTTTCTTCCCATTCCCCCACTTTGTTCCTCCTGGCTCCCCTTCCCCTGCACGCTGCCTCATCAGGTGGCACAGTCCCACTGACCACATCCAACATCCCAGACCCTCAGGGTTGCATCCTTACCAGTTGCAAAGTCCCAGGTTGCCTACAGTGTCTTGATAGCTTATCAATTAATGTGACTAACCAGGTTTCTGGTTATTGTCTTTGCTAATGCTAATTGGTCAGGTTTTACGTCTCTGTGTGTTTGTCTCCTTCTCTTTCCTTATCTTCCCAACCAAGAAAAATAAACATCGTCATGCTTGCTCCACTAACCACGTTTGTTCTCATCACGACTTCCTTTAACATGTATTGGTCAGGTTTGCCTCTGTATGTTCTTGTTTATGGCTCCTTCAGGGGTACTCTTAAAGGAGTGGACACTATTCTTCCACATATCCTTACAAATACATATCCAAATAACCTTACAAACTACAGCATTTGTTGTCTGAAATAATTTTAAATTATTCACTCCAAATCTATTTCAAGTTATTAGTCTGAAAGATCAGGGTATTGTTCCATTCTACTTCCTCTTGCTTGTAATTGCCATATTTTTGCTCTTGTTTAAATTTCTTGTTGCATAGAAATTTGTTTCAGGAGATATTCAAGCAGTTTTTCTTATTGTGGCAGGTTACAGGCAAATTTTACTGTGACAGTATATATTTTTTCCATCTACCCATTTTCCATCTACCATTTAAACAGAAAGATCCAATGAGGCAAGATCTCTAAGGCTTTCTGAACTGTCCAAAGATTCTCCCACATCTTGTAAGCCTGCTCACAGCCCTGGATTTCAAGAGATCAGACTTTGGCCTCTCCAAAAATCTGCTCAGAAAAATACCCTGGGATAAGGCTGCAGAGGGAAGAGGGGCCAAAGAAAGCTGGTTCATATTCAAGAATAACCTCCTCCAAGGTCAAGAGATTTCCATTCCAATGAATAAGAAGTCAGGTAAAAATACCAGGAGGCCCGTGAGGATGAACAAGGAGCTCTTGGCTAAACTCAAATACAAAAAGGAAGCATACAGATCATGGAAGGTAACCTGGGAGGAATATAGAAATATTGTCCAAGCATCCAGGAATGAAATTAAGAAAGCTAAAGCCCAAATGGAATTGAATTGGGCCAGGAATGTAAGAGAAAACAAGGAGGGTTTCTATATGTACATAGAAGACAAAAGGAAGACTAGAGAAAATGTGGGCCCCTTGCTCAATGAGATAGGGGACCTGGTTATACAGAACATGGAGAAGGCCGAAGAACTTCTTTGCCTTAGTCTTAACTAGCAAGACCAGCACTGAGGAATCCCAGGTCCCAGAGACCAGTGACAGAGGTTGGAATAAGAAAGATGTACCTGTAAGGGTATGTGGAAGGAGAGTGTCTGCTACTTTGAGGGTATCTGGTCAAGGACCTGTTTCAGTGCAGTAAAGGAAAATAAGAAAAGGAGGAAGCCTTAAAGAAGAATGTACAGGGACACAAACCTGACTGACACATCATAAGGGAGGCAGTGATGAGAACCAAACCTGGTCAAGTCACACTAATTGATGAGGGCATGTGAGAGTCTGAGAATGTTTATTCCAGTGAGGTTATCTGATGGGTGACCTTGTCAACTGGGAAACCAAGGGGAAAAAAAGAGGAAAGCCCAAACAAAATATGCAGAGATACAGATTAACATGGAGACAATGACAAGAAACAAACCTCACCACTCAGTAATTGATGGGCTATCAAGAAACCACAGGTACTACTTTCAGGAATATCAACCTGGACTTTGCAACTGTTAAGACTGTGAAACAGGGGAACCCCAGACTGGGAGAGGTATGGGAATACAAACCCATGGGGGACATGCAGGGGAAGAAGGGAGCAGGGAGGAACAAAGAAGAAAGGGGGTAGACAGAAAAGGGTATAAAAGGAACCAGCTGGGTTTAAAACAGGGCCAGTCAGTACACTTGCCTGGCTGAGCCCTGCACCTGATCACCTCAGTCTGTACTATCATCTTATATTTTCTTATTAAATATTTTTTTAACTATCTCTCTGTGTAATCTCACTCTCTATCCCATATGTATGCATGTACTGCATGGACTAAATGCCAGCTACTGGTGAGATCTCTGTGCATGTGAGTGGTATTTCGTACCAGCTACTGGAGTTAGACAGGGGGTGTAGGTGCCCCGAGTCCTGTGGAGTCAGCTACTGGAGCAAGAGTGGGGGTCTCAGTGCCAGCTACTGGAGTAGGGGTCTTTAACTTCCAACCACTGGGGCAGGAATGGTTTGTGTTCCCCAAACCAGCTACTAGGGGAGGACTGGCATGAGTGAAGTAAGCAGCTCTGTGTCAGTGGCTGGAGTAAGACCATGGGTCACAGCCCGTATGCCTGGTGCCAGCTGGTGGTGGAGGAGCAAATGTTTGTATCTTCCCCCAAACCATGTGTCCATGGGGTGTGCGTGTGTATTTCCTAG